ATATATATATCTCTCTCCTGTCGAATTCGACATATGAAGGTAAAGCAGATCAGTTCCTAGGAAAATGACAGCCCGACACCAACACATATTTTTGATTACAGTGGTGAAGCTTTTGAGCCGCAGGTTTTGAATTCATATATATATATATATATATATATATATATATATATATATATATATATATATATATATATATAAGTAATGAAAAGTTTGGTAATCTGTATGGATAATCCCAAGGAGGATGTAACCCAGAGAGCTCAAATATCAAATCAGAGCAATTATTAATTCAATTTAAATAGAAAACAGACAACCTTAAGGGTCCATTGGTTATAATTTATTTCCCAAGGTATATGATTTTTATCTGGTTCATCAAACCGCACTTCTGAGTGTGAAAAAAATGTATATGTTAGAGTGTGCAGCTTATATTTTATATAAAATATAAACTGCACACTCAAATATATTTACGACGTCAGATCCATAACACAGTAATAATCCGAATCTTAAATTCTGTGGAAAACTACCAAGACATTTTAAATCTACTAATTGGATTATATTAAGTTCATTTCGTTTTAACAGATAAATACATATAACAAGAACATTTCGTGGATTTATAACTTTTCAAGAATCAAACAAAATTATCTCTTGATCGATTTGAAGAAGAACTCTAGCGTCGTGACATCGCACACCCCAAAACATATATTCAAATGTTAATAAATAGCAAAATTTTAAAAAAGCATCTTTCGGTATATACATATTTCGTCTTAGTGTTTGCCTATGTATGGGAATATTGCGCCCTGAAGATGACAATTTGAAATTGTCGAAAGTACTTGCATGTATCTTCCATCTGACAACAACTCGAATATAAGGATCTTATTATTCAAGGAATTGATAGTAAGTTAACGTCTCATTAAGTCCTGTTAGCGAAGTGATTTCGCCATTGATCACATTAACATTGCTTTTTAATTCTTTATATAAATTGGTTCTTTATGATATTATATATATATATATATATATATATATATATATATATATATATATATATATATCAAGTATGTGGTGCAGTTCAATTTACATTACATGAATCATTCATGCAAAAAACAGATATAGAAGTTAATGATTTAATTGGCGAGAATACATCTTCACAAACAAATTTAATAAAGTACATTAACCCCGAACCTGTATATGAATGTTATGATCCCTGTTTATAAATTCCAGTTGCATAAGGTCTTTTTTTTGTTTTTTACAAGCTTTCGTCTGTTCATACAGACATCTTCAGGTATGGAAATATATAGATTAATATACAGGTTCGGGGTTAGTGTACATCATTAAGTTTGTTTGCGAAGATGTATTGTCGCCATTTAAATCATTAATTCTATATCTGTTTTTTGTATGAATGATTCATGTAATATATATATATATATATATATATATAAATGTGTGTGTGTGTGTGTGTGTGTGATTGAGTGTGAATGTAAATCATGAATGTCTTACGTATGTGTACTTTTGGTTCATCAATATTTCGAAACCTAGAAATGAAAAATGTATTTCACACAAGTAATACTTATTTTTACACATCAAACTCATCCTTTTCAATATCAGAGATAAAACGAATTATACAGTGAAATTTTCAGTCAAAATTCAGTTAATAATTTAGTCTACAAGAATTACTGATACAAATTCATATATCTACGTATGGAAAAGAGAAATGGTAAGAGACTAAGAGTGAAAGGTTGCGATAGATAGACATATATCAGTAGAAATAGATAGAGATTGATATAGATAGAAATAGACTTTGATAGAACAAATATGGATAGAAATCGATTTCGATAGATAGATATGAACAGATATAGATAGATATGGCCTTAGGTAGAGTGATAGATAGAAATATAGATAGGTATGAACAGATATAGATAGATATGGCCTTAGATAGAGTGATAGATAGAAATATAGATAGATATGAACAGATATGGATAGAAATATACTTAGATCAATAGATAGGTATGAACAGATACAGATAGATATAGCTTAGATAGATAGATTGATACATAAATACAAAGATATGAACAGATATGGATAGAAATAGACTTTGAGAGATGGATGCTTATTGAATGAGATTGCTATCTAGTGAATGATATATATATCTATATATATATATATATATATATATATATATATATATATATATATATGTGTGTAATTTAAATAAATACAGACCACTTTAAGGTTCTATGTAATAAATTATTTCACCACAGCCCTTTTAAAAGGACTGCGGATCATCAGACTTCCAAACAAAAATGAAAAGAAAATTTACACATTTTTGACGGGCCGTATTAAACATATTAGGTTTACCCATACGGATTACCTAGTTTTCATAAATATATATATATATATATATATATATATATATATATATATATATATAGAAAGAGCGATAAATTGATATGAATTAAATGAAGTAGATAGTTATATTGATAGACTGGAATTGATAAAAAGCGAGAAACACACACATATATTTATGCAGATATAAGTGTGCACAAAATATATATATATATATATATATATATATATATATATATATATATTCAGAGAGAGCGACAAAGAAAAAAGACATAGTTAGAGATATAGAGAGAGAGGGAGAGGGAGAGGGAGAGGGAGAGAGAGATTGCTAGCGAAAGAGAAAGGTAATAAGAGGGAGCTTTGATATAGCTATAAATAAACGTGTCTTGAGTTTTTGCTTATATATATATATATATATATATGTGTGTGTGTGTGTGTGTGTGTGTGTGTGTGTGTGTGTTAGTGTATTTTGTCAGTGGCACGGATGGAGGAACGGATTGTTGAAACGTAGTCGTTGGGTGTGGCAGGAGTACTGGGGTGTGTGGTTGAGGACTAGACATCTTTGGAAAAATATGGCCATGTCACGTCTTGCCCGAAATCCCCATCTTTTTCTTTCTGATATTATCAAAAGCAAAACATCATTGCAACTTGACACGTCGATTTCTGTTCGAAGTCGCATCTCATTGTTGTGGTGGCCAATCAACACACGATGCCTTGTAAGCAATAGATATTTAGTTTCTAGTGGACATTTTAAATAGTAAGAATATTAAGAAAAGAATCTATCTGTCTATTTTTCTCGCTAGCTATAAAACCACAAAGAGCTTAGGTAGACTTACTTGCCATATATCCGACTAAAGCGCAATACACAGATAAAGAAATGCTAAAATTACATTTCCTTATTTATAATATAATACTACGTAGTAAAACGAATTACAATAATGATTAGGTTGATTTTATATTATTCGAAGAGGACTCCTAGATCATAATATTTTCAATGCATCTTTTTATGAATAAAATATATTGTTCTTTCTTTTTTATCATAATGATATTTTCAAGTTCAAAATCGTGAGCGCACAGGTTGCAGTGACACACAAGTGCATAGTGTATGTTGTTTAATTTTAACTTCTTTTTATGTTCGTATATTCTTTCCACCACATCTCGGGATGTTTCGCCTTTGTATATGGCCGGTGGCGTTGTTTAACTTCTAATTGATAGAATCCTATCTATCTATCTATCTATCTATCTATCTATCTATCAGTCTTTTCATATCTATCTATCTATCTATCTATCTATCTATCTATCTAAAAGTGTGTAAAGTTAGTTCTTTGTTTTACATTGATTAAATTTATAACTTTTTTTAGCCGTCGTTGACAGCTAAGCGCTGCACTCCACTCCGGATTTTCTGCCTGGTTTACTTTCATAGACTTTTCGTGTTCGAATATGCCTGCAAGTTAATGGAGGGTTAAAATTAGGGTTTTCTTTCTCTTAGATGGACTACCTTCCCGGAGCTCCATCTACCCGAAGTAGCTGGTTATGAGGCACAAGGAACCCGCCTTCGTGACTCTGATTTGGCTTGACTTAGTTGTCAGTGGCTCTTTGAGACGCATGCCATGGAATGATTTTATAGACGGTGGGAGATTGTCCAAACTAACGCACCCGGCTCTCTTTCTCTCACGATCACTCTCTCTCTCTCTCTAACTGTATATGTTTGTGCGTGGGTTGGTGTGTGTTTGTACGTGTGTGGTTGTGTGTAAGGGTTGTTCACATATATATATATAAACACTTCATCCAGATGGGCTTTACCACAAATTTAACAGCATAGACAGAATTAATATATAACCCCATAAATCAAGCCCTACTCACATTTCTCACCCACACAAGACAGACATGCTTGCAGAGGTGTGAGGTCTCACACTTATAGACAAACTCGCACAAATATATACACATACACACATTACCCATTGCTTCACCAAAAAATATAACATACACTTAACACACACATCCCATCCCCAGCAACCAATAAAACTGTCAAAATGACCACAAAGGAAATTCTTAAAGTTTCCCAGCTCCTATCTTAAAAAACAACTTCAAAGAGGCCGTTTGACCAACACAAGGACTGACCAAAATTAACGATAAAAAACACACACAAAAAAAAACAAAACAAATGAAAATTACAGATAAAGTTCACTTTCTTCAGCAACAGTCATTCACTCCTGTAGTTCACTGCTACTAACAAGCAGGGATTTTTTTTACTTCTGATGATGGCCATGCTGGCCGAAACTAGTCGAGAAACCTAATTGAAATAATAAAACAACAAAAATATTAATATACAACCCAGTGTATCTGAAAAATATTATTTTTTAATATTTTTATTGTTCAAAACATATATATATATGTGTGTGTGTGTATGTGTGTGTGTGTGTGTGTGTGTGTGTGTGTGTGTGTGTGTGTGTGTGTGTAAGCATATTGCATATATGTCTGTGTATAACAAAGTTTATGTTATGCCTCACTTCTCCAAAAAATATGTTGATCGGCGTATTTCTGGGAAATGTGCTTTGTAATAATAATGCTCGACATAAAGCAACAGAGCATTAATAATAATAATAATAATAAATATAATTAAATGTTCACTTGTCTTTGTTTACGGAGATTACATCCACTCATCAAGGAAATACGGTAAAAATTGACGGAAGAAGAAGAAGAAGAAGTGCGAGACGGAGGATAGTTGAGAAAGACGACAACACAAGTAAATAGAGAAGACACAGAGTGTAAAAAAAAATTAAAAATAGAAAAAACGTCGCCAGAAGAATGAGAAAGAAAAAGCTATAAAGAAAAGAGGGGAGGGGGAGAGAGAGAGAAAGAGAAAGAAAAAGAAAGAAAGAACATTTAAGAAATCGAAAATAAAAAGAATAAAATACAAAAATAATGAAAAGTATAAAACAGTTAAGATGAAAAAAGAATGTCATACATGAGAAATAAAAGCAGCAGAATAAAGAAAAAGAAAAAGAAAACTGTAAATATGAATTAAGACGAAAAGAAAGTATCTGTCTATATCTCTGAGATGAGGTATTATGATTACTTGCATTATTTATATTATTCGGACTGGTATTCTCATCTTCATTGCCATATTCACAACGTTTCAATATCTCTGAGATGATCTGTTATTTATATTATTCTATATCTTCATTGATATTCACAACGATATCTCTGAGATGAGGTATTATGATTACTTGCATTATTTATATTATTCGGACTGGTATTCTCATCTTCATTGCCATATTCACAACGTTTCGGCCTCTATATCTCTGAGATGAGGTATTATGATTACTTGCATTATTTATATTATTCGGACTGGTATTCTCATCTTCATTGCCATATTCACAACGTTTCAGCCTCTATATCTCTGAGATGAGGTATTATGATTACTTGCATTATTTATATTATTCGGACTGGTATTCTCATCTTCATTGCCATATTCCAACGTTTCCCTCTATATCAGATGAGGTGATTACTTGCATTATTTATATTATTCGGACTGTTATCCTCCTCTTCATTGCAATATTCACAACGTTTCGACCATTGTACGTTCCGACCTTCTTTAGGTGATTGTAATTTCGAACAAAACTCTTTATTTCGTTCAACGGAGTAGATTGCTCTAGTTCCACATGCTATGCCTGTTCCAGATGTTGCAATTATTTCGCTTTAACTCGACTCTCCAGGTTTTGGTTCACCACTGCTGTGGCCTGGTACTGAAGTCACAACTCTGGGTTTAGTCACTAGATGTATCCAACGTCTTTATCCATTGGGACATATGTCCTCAAGGAAGAAGAAGACCGGAGCAAACAACGGCCGAAACGTTAAGAATATGGAAGTAAAGATGAGGATAAGAGTCCGAATAATGTAAATAATGCAAGCAACGAAAAGAAAGCTAAAACGAGAAAGAACATCTGTAAAACAAAAGAAAAAAAAAATGAAAATGAAAACTAAAAGAAAGGACATGATAAAGAAAGGGGATCTGTAATAGAAGCGAGAAGAAGAAAAAAGCGGGAAGAAGAAGAAAAATGTAGAGAAACGAAGATGAATACAAATAATAGCGTCAAAAAGGAAGCCTTAAGTAAAACGAGAGAAAAGTATAAATTTATAAGGAAGAAAATTGTAAAGTTAAAACGACTGAGTAACATAAACGAAAACAAAAAGAAATAATAATGGAAAGCAAAAAAGAAAGTTAATCTTAAAGAAAAAAAAAGAAGAGAAAAACGTACTGTGAAGCCGAAAAGAAAAATTTTAAAGAACACCGTAAAGAAAGGCAAAATGAAAGAAAACTATAAAGTAAAAAGAAAGAAGGAACATCGTGAGGGAAGATAAAAAGAAAGAAAGAAAGAAAAAACACCTTAAAGTCGCTGAAAAAAATAACGAAAGGAAACCGTAAATAAAAAGGAAACAGAGGGAGAGAGAGAGAGAGAGAGAGAGAGAGAGAGAGAGAGAGAGAGAGAGAAAATAGTGAAAAAGAAGAAAAAAAACTGAAAAAAGAAAGAAAGCCATAAAGAAATAAGAAAATGGAAATTGAAAAGAAAGACTAAGAGAAAGAAACCGTAAAGAAAAAGCAAAGAGGAAAATCAGAAGAGTGAAAACAGTAAAGAAAAAAAAAGAAAGAAACTACAAAGGAAGATAAAAAGAAAGAAATTGTAATGAACAAAGAGAGAAGAACATAATGAAACAAAGAAAGATAGTAAAGAAAAAGAAAAAAAGAAAAATTTAAAGAATAACAAAAAGAAAGAAAACAGTAAAAAAAGAAAGAAAGAAAACCATAGAAAATGAAAGAAAACAAATGCAAATAAAAAAGTGTGTTTAATATAGCAACAACACTAAATGAAGCTTTATTTTACTAATTCAGCTTTTTTATTCTGACGGTTGGCTGAAAGCGAGAGGGGAGATGCGATGTACTTATTTTATTACTACAGGGACATTCCGAAAGTAAAAAAAAAAGAAGAAAATGTTAAAAATAAACAAAAAAAAAACAAGAAAATCATTAAGACAGTGAGGAAATTGAAAGAAAAAAAGTGTTCAGAATAATTTCAAAATTAACAATGATATAAACAGTGACGCCAAAAAACGACACCAAGAGGCTTGACAGTAAAATATCATCACGTCATAGAAACTAACCTCAAGACTGCATAAAAAAGTGATTTACTAAGCTGCAGTTTGTGGTCAGACTATATGTGTGTTTTGGCAACGCAGATTGTGTCAACGGACACGCGAGATCTGAAACGAGATTACAATCGAGTAAATAAATAAAAATGGCATCCTTGTATTGCGAGCAAGACGATTCTAACAGCTGAGCTCTTTCCCATGGTGGCTTGAATTCAACATGACACTTCTGACCGGTGAGAAGTCGCGAACGCTTTTCGCTACATACTGTCTACCTTTCAAATATAAAATATAGATATATTTGCTCGTTTCTGGAATGAGCAAATTATTCCTGATGTTTCTAGATGTGACTTTAAATATGTTTCATAATGTTTTTACGTGTGCGTGTGAGTAGAATGTTTTTGTGATTTTATAAGTGCCACTGTTTACCTGTGCACATATGCATGCAATATATATATATATATATATATATATATATATATATATATATATATATATATATATATATATATATATATATATATATAATCCAAACAAAAGAGGATGTTTAAGAGAGCTCAATGTCAAAAAATTTGGTAATCCTTAAGGGTCCATTGATAATCCCCAAACAAAAGATCACATTCCCAGACATAATTTTTTTTTTATAATCAAGAGATCTGATGTAACCAGGAAAAAAAAAACACTTTCCTGGGGAAATTTAATTATAAACAGTGGCCCTTAAGGTTGTCTGTCTTTTACTTTTTAAACTAAATTTACAAATATATATATATATATATATATATATATATATATATAAACATTTACTGAACAGACAGACTGTTAGTCTTCAGTGTGCCTCTAGTAGAATAATTAAATTGGTTTCAAAATTTGACAAAAATTTTATTTCGACTGCAGGTTACAAATATAAATATAAATATATATAAAAATAATATATAACGATTATTCTATACACCGGGGTTGAATAAGACTAACGTACTTTTTTGGGTGGTTGAAATTTATACCTCCCCCACCTCATATGAAGTAATTTTGCATTTTGTTGTAATTTATATGCTTTTAATAATTGATATTACTAGGATACACCAACGGATTTCTTACATGTACTATATATATATATATATATATATATATATATATATATATATGCACCTTAACGTGATGTAATGGCCTATTTTGTCTCCCTAGAACCATTACAGCTGAGTAATGAGTTCACTCCTCACTGGTTCAAAAAAATCTTGGCACCAATGGTTAGCAAGTTTGTCTCGCTAAAACAATTACGACTGTGTAGTGAGTTCGATTCTTATTAGGTGCTCCAAAGTTTCGGCCTTGTGCCACATCTAAACTATGCTTAGAAAATTATTTAGGCACCTCGGTGTGGTGTAATGGTTAGCAAGCTTGTCTCGCTAGAACTCAATGTCAAGAAGGATGTAATAAAAAGGCTAAACACGTATTCCATGGTCAAAATTTATTCCATTGAAATCGTAAATACGATCCAATTCATCAGACCTACAAATTCAAAAAGAAAAACAGAAGAAACAACTAAATAAAAATAGAATTTAGAGAGAGAGTATACGAATGTTAGAGCTAAAGAGAGGGGTAACAGACGAGAAGGTGGAAGATTAAAACTTAACAGAGAGAAGTTTAGAGAGGTGAGTTGAAGACACATAGATAAATATAATGTTGTCGGATGTCTAATACATGAAGGATGTAACCGAAAGGATACATTTTATACATACACACATAGACAATCTTAAAGATCAGAAGAAGAGGGAGGAGAGGAAAAGAAAAGAAAAGGGAGGGGAGAGAGGTGGGGGAAACTAAAACTAAGGGCATTTACTGAAAGAGTCGCTGTGTAATTAAGAAAATTTGACAAAATTAATTTCGACTGCAGGTTACAAATCAAATATAAACATATAAAAAAAATAAATATAACGATTATCAATCTAGCAAGGACCTATATTTTTATGTTCAAAAACACATGCGAATACACACATACATAACATACGTACATAAATACATATAGGCGTGTACACATACACACATATATATACCCATGTACACACATACACATATATCCATATATATATATATTCTCATAGACATATACATACATACACATACATACACACACATACACATACATGTATACATATACATACATAAATACACACACATACATACATACATATACACATACATCCATACACATCCACTCCTACATATATATACACATTTACACACATATATACATACGGACATACACATACGTGCACATAAACATATATACATAAAAACTTACATCTCCATACAATTACATACACCCATCTAAACAAATAAACAATGTATCCCTATATCTATCCGTCTAACTATACATACATACATACATATATACATACATATACACCCATATATAGATATATATGACTACATACATACCAAAACAGACGCGCGCGCACACACACACACACACATATATATATAATGGTTAAAGCGGCAGATGGGTTCATTTGTCTCATTATTATCAAACAGGCGATTACATTTGAAACTAAATATAATGAGAAGATTTGATGGAAATAAACTTATTTAAGGCGAAAGGTGGAAAGTCAAGTGTTCCTATGGGATTTGATTTTCTTCTACTGTTGTTGCAGCTGTGTACCCGCAGGGGTTTGGTCAGTGCCGCACCTGTTGACTTGGGTCGTTGGTCTGAAAGAACAATGGCGGAAGTCGATGTCACTTAATATTGAAAATGGAAACGAGGCTTGCTCGGACACAATGGCGGACGGCGATCTCTGCCTGCACTGCAGTTTGTATATTCAAGTCCTGATTAAAACTTCTGGCAGAAATAAATTATTTAATAATTTTGTCAATATATTAAAAGCTATATCATTCAAACCTATTAGCAATTACTAAACGTTGTTTAAATGGCATAAGGGCAAACTTGTGTCACAGCGAATAGAGTAAGCTTAGTCTGGCACAGGGCTATACGTGACGTGTTATTGATAACGGATAAACTTTTGGAGCGTGCAGTCACAACACTAGGGTTGAATTTTACCAAAAGCAAAATAATTTCCATGCCTGAAGATTACTGAATGTACAGTCGAAAGTACTTCCATATTTAAGAAAGATATTTAACAGTTTATAATAAAAAAAAAAATGGATCATAATATTCATCGAGTGATTGGTAGTTTTTGTTAGAGAAGAGATTTCGACATTTTATATCCTTAACTTTACTGATTTATTTTTTTGTATGAATGATTCATTGTATTATATATATATATATATATATATATATATATATATATATATATATATATATATATATTTGTATATTTAGGCAGAAATCCTTCGTTTATGCATGTTTCTTTAAAAACGACAGACAAGGTACTACGGTTAAGCTCTTTATTTAATTTTTCTTGTGTTCGCACAAGAGTTTTCTTATCTGGACAAAGAGTGTGTAAAAACTGTCCAAATATTTTATATTTCCGAGTGCTTTCGGCTATACCTTTAGCCATTATCAAGGATGATTCGATTTTTCAGCTTAATTGAGTGTGTGCATTATGTGTATGTCTTAGTGTGTGGTAGGGATGTTTTTAATTTCAGAAAAAGGTTAGCACATTGTGGCTTTGTTCGTAGTTAATATTGTTAAGAATTGGCCTTTTCTTTTTTATTATTAAAACTTCCATTATTTTTAATCTTTCTTTGCAGGTTGATGCAGTTATTATATTTATTACTATATATTATTATGTTATTGCTTAAATATTTGTATCTATAAAAAGAACGTATAAACATTAAAAAAAATGTCTTAAAATAATTGTCGGATTTTGTCCATTTCATAATGTGTGACGTCATAAATATATCTCATAAATTTTTTTTTTTTTCTGAATGTTATAGTGTTAAATTCCTTGTTGTTTGCCGGGATTTGTAATTCAATAATTGTGTATTTAGGCAGCAATCCCTCTTTTATACAAGTTTCATTTAAAACGGCTGTCAAGGTACTGTGGTTAAGTTTTTTTTTTATTTAATTTTTATGTGTTATAATTTTCTTCTTTTCTGGACATAAATTATGTAAATGATGGATTTCATTTTTAGCAGTTCTTATTTCTCGTAAAACAAGGGTTTTCCTGGATGTTGTAGTATTGCTTTCCTTGAACGTTGCCCTGTCACGTAATTAATAATTGTGTATTTGGGCAGAATGGTGTATAACACGACTTCGGTATAAGACGCTCACCAGGTTTCTGAAGCTAAGAATCAAGAACATATTACATCGTTGAATTTAATACGACTTCGTTGTACAGCCATCTTTTTTTTTTAATTGTACCATATTATGCGTTAAAATCTCAATGTCGTACAAATACTTCACTGGAGTATTTAATTTTTTACGACATTAAAGAATAAACCGGATGTTTATCAATTTTCTTCCGTTTTAAAAACTGATAAACTGATGTAACTGATTTTTATCTAGATGGTAACTAGTCATACCAGGTAATATATTTTAAGGTGTTAACCTATCACGTTTTTTTCTGTTTGATATGATTTTATTATATTTCGATATATTAATAAAACATAAAAAATAGTGTATCTGTCTTTATTTCTGAGATGAGGTATTATTATTGTACATTATTTACATTATTCGGACTATTGTCCTCATCTTTGACATCCATTAAATATGGCAAATGGAACTAGAACAGTCTACACCAGTGAGCGAAATAAAGGGTTCAGATCGACATTCCAACCACCTGAAGAAGGCCGGAGCGTACAACGGCCGAAACGTTGTAATAAATATGGCGACAAAGATGAGTAAAATAGTCCGAATAATGTAAATAATGTAAAAAATAGTGTCTTTCATTAAGAATGAAGAGAGAAAAACTATATATAAAAAGAAAACTATATACACAAAGTTTATCTTGTAGGCAAAACTGAGTGAATTTACAAACTTGCTGTTTTAAAGAAGAGTTTGTTAAGCTAAGTAGAGATTTCTGAAAACATGCATTTATCATGTATACGGCGAACGCTCATTTTTTTCATTTAATTTTCATTCAAAATGTAATTTTTTACTCATGCATTGAGACTTTCGGCAAGAATGATTCTTGATTCAATCATTCTTGACGAGGATCCTAATGAGTGATTGTAAAATTATGAAAGTCTGAGTTAACCTTCGATAAGTATTAAACGTATTACTTTCTAATTTATATATATATATATATATATATATATATATATATATATATATATATATATAGATAGATAGAGAGATGTTACGTAAAAGATAATTACCAAATTACCTCATGAGAATAGCTATTCCAACTAGCGTTAATCCGTTATCATTTTTAGCTAATCTTGAGATGTTTTTGGAGTTCTCTTTTATGTAATTTATATGCTCTGTTATAATAAATACATTAAGCTCTTTTTGTTTTAATATTTTATATTATTAGGATACTTATACTATCTATCTATCTATCTATCTATCTATCTATCTATCTATCTATCTATATATATATATATATATATGTTTAAATACG